AGGAATTGGAGTGTATGATATAAATCTTTTAGAAGCTTGATTTAGAAGGTAAATAGGATTGGAAAGGAGGCAACACAAAGTTGAGAGAGAAACTTTATTTGCTTCTTTTAGGAGGAGAAACTTAAATACTTACAAGTTATGGTGGTAGAAATGGTAGAGAAGATCAGGTAGATGATATAAATGTGAAAGAAAATAACTAATGGTGAGGTACAGGAATCTAGAACATGAGTTTAAGGGATTTGCCTTGAATGAAATTAGAGACACCATTTTCATTGAAGCAGGAGGAGGCAATGGGTCTACATGGAGATAGATTTGAAGCTAGCATGGGATAGGAATGGGGACATGGCAGGAAGGTGAAAGTTCAACCTTATTGGTCTTTCCAAAATCAGAGGTGAGAGAGAGGGAGTCAGCAAGATTTGGGAATTTTGTGACTGTGATAAGAACAAAATGTAAAGAACCAGCAAACAATCCGATTAAGATACAACTCTATAATATATAAATGGCTTTTATGATTTAACACAGTAGATATAAATGTTAGAATTTCATATAGTATTTTAACTAAAACTCAAGAGTCTCTAAAAGTAGGAATGTTCGTTTTAAAGGGAACACCTATTTTCACCTGCACCTATTTCCACCTCACACAGTGGAAATAGCCATTACAAAACTTAAATCTGTCAGTCATTTATCCTCATAATAATTTGCATCACTTTTTCATCTCTGTTAATCATTTTTCCTACACAGTGTTTTCTTGGCAGCACCTAAAAAGCATAAAGAATTCATACGTTTATTCAGTACCGTGTGCCAAACCATTTCACATATATATTTGTGCTCTGCCGAAGCTAAATAGACTACAAAAATGCATGATGCCAGGTTGTACATAAACAGGTTGGAGGATAGGAAAATCAGGCTGGTCCTCTTGGGGTCTTACTAAACGAACATATACCAAGACAGTCACTGCATGTAAGAGCTGAGAGCTGTATTTCTTTCTAGAGTGGTAGTGTTCATGAACAGAATAGTTTAAGAGTAATAGATTAGGAAGCTTGTTCAAGTCAGGATGTTGAGGATACTATAAGGTTAAAAACAACCATCTTTTATAGTAAACGTTAGCTCTAAAGGTCTGACCTAGGTTTAAATAGTTGTTTCCGATTTGTATTGTATTTAAAATGAGCATAGATATATTCTTTGAATACGTTCCAAAGAATTTTACTCCAAAAAGCAAAATGTATAGGAGCTTTCAAGGCTCCCCTTTTTATTGCCGGCACTGGAACTTATCTTTCTGCCCAAAGGAGATCAGAGGCTGAGGTCTAGTCTCTGCATAGGAAGGGGGAGAAAGGCACTGATCATTTAGAAACCTCCCAGCGCTGAAGCTCTGCACTCATCTCAACATCGGTCACTTCAGTAGAAATGTTTAAGCAGCAAGAAAGTATTCCGTGGTTTTTGGCAATCAGCAGATCAGATAGAAGAATCTAGCAATACAACAGAGGATGTGTAATCTGACATGATTAGACAAGGCTCTTTAGTACCAGAACATTCGTAATTGAGACAAAGAAAGAGTATTAATAACACTTTCCTAACACGGCAGTTAGCCATTTTATATTTCCTTTCTTTAATCTTAGTGTTTTTCAACAAATCATGGGAATTAATAGCGTGTTTTGGCAGATTAGAGGATTTATGGCCCAGATGTTTTTTGTTCTAAAAATGGATTAGGGTGTAAAGTTTGCTGGAATCCGTGGAACATGTTGAGGCAAGCCGGTCATTTTATGTGTGATTAGTGCCTGCCTTCTGTCTCACAGTCCCTCCATCTGTCACAATTCACCAATGGATCTGGTTAGATTTAGCCTCATGTCACAAACAAGTCCCTTTTCTGGGCAATTTCATATTATACATTCAGTTTATGCCATTTTATGCCCTAGTTAAAAGATAAGAGGAGTGAAAGATGAGATATTAGTTTTTCTTTCAATATTTGCAAAACAATCTTTTCTCATTGGTATTCTAACCTTAGATCGTACAGATTATCATAATAAAGTGCATCAAATAAATAAATGACCAGTGTTAAAGTTAAATTTAGTTCTGCTCCTTACACCTGTTATTCTTTAAAAGAAGTATTTTGGCAATGTTGTTTTTTAACTAACTCTGGATTGTGGAGGTGCAGACACAGGCCAGTCATTTTACCATATTATTAAGAGTAGTGTGAATTAAGTGCGACTATAGTTTACCAGTAGGCACAATTTTTCATCAAACAATTTGAGGTACTTGGTCACATTCTGAACTTGAAATTTAGCCTCTTAACTGTTGCAAGTTTGTATCCATAGCCAGCCATTGCCACCTGTGGTTTATTTCACCATAAATGGATTGGGAGGAAATGCTCTTCTTTCAGCCACTTAATAATGATTTATTCTTTCTGTAAATAATGAACTTAATAGTGCTATACTTAAACTCTAAATTGACCTTTCTAATGCTATGAGAGTGTCAATAACGATAGTGATAGTTATCAATACATTCTATGGTGACATTTAAATAATCCTTACATGAAAAAAAATCAAAGATAGGTTTTATTTTTGCACTGCAGAACATCCAGGTAACTAAAAATATTATTCTTTAAACTTCTTTCCAAATGTATGGAAACAACTATATTTCTCTTAAATATTATGTTTTTATTACAGATGTTTGTCACCATGTTCATGTATGACTATATGAATCATCAATTCAATTTAGTCATCATCAATTACTTATTCCTTCATTTAGACAAATTCCACTGAGAAATTATTATCTGCCAGACAATAGCCATTACCCAAAATAGAAGTGATTTTTATAGTTAAAGGTTAACCTATCTATGCATTTGTACAAAACATATATTTTGTTCTGTCACATCTTCAGGTTATTTAAATGACCATGATGCTGTCACCAAGGCAATCCAAGAAGCTCGGCAGATGAAGGAGCAACTTCGGCGGGAACAACAGGTCCTTGATGGGAAGGTGGCTGTTGTGAATAGTCTAGGTCTCAATAATTGCCGGACGGAAAAGGTTAGTTACTAAAATAACTGACTTTCCAAAAATATTTAAATTGCCCGAATGCTTTTCATCGTTCCAGAGTAATGGTTCTTCTTCCCTTTTTCCTTCTGTCAACCCAGAAATCTCCATGCCTATCCTAATCAAAACCAACCAGAAATAGGGTTAAAATTCTCTTGTGTCCATTGTCAAACCTTATTGACAATATCTCCTTTTCTGCCATCGGTTTGTATTAAAATGAAATGGCATTTGAGATATCTGAGTCTGAGTGAAAGTTTTGCTTTACAGAGATGCTTAACTTGTATTTTGGGATGAGCTGGATTTGAAAATGCTGAATCTTCTTTAATCAGCATAAGCTTGGATGATACCCATGCTCATAATCTAAGTATCTAGGATCCTGAGCTTGTCATATGTCTCTAATGCAAAGTACTTTCAAGTTTTAGGTGACTGCACGATCAGAAAATTTGACTTTATTATAAAACAAAATGTACTTTTTAAAACTTGGGCACATTGTTACTCTACTTAAACACAGCAAAACTGAATTTATCTGAGCTATAATAATTTTAGACTCTTTTGTCTAAACTAGATTCTATTTTATTCAGAAAAATATGTTATTATAGAATATTCAGAGTATGTACTTCTTTTGGTACTTTTTGATATGTTTTGAATTGAAATTTTAAAGTGTTATTGAATCCCCTTTAAATAATTCTATAGCTAAATAGATATGATACTAGAAAAAATGATCAGCTACTTAGCAATAACTTGATAATTAATCATGGGAAATTTATCAGTCAAACAGTATTATATACAGAATGAACAGTTTTCTAATTTGGATAGCTTTCTGGTTTCCCAGGTTTTATATGGAATTTGATATATAATCTCTAAAAAGCTAGCAATATGCATAGCGAAGGTGAAATATATGCATAATCTTGTCACAACTGTACTTTTTTTGCTGGTCCAAATATGTCTCAAAATGTTGGAGAAACAATTTCAATTCTGTTCTTTTTCTGGAAGGGAAAGTGAAACATGGGTCAGTATATCATCCCTCACAGTCTCACAGCATAAGAGGAGCAACATTGGTGCAGCAAGAAGGGCGCACAATTTTTCTAGCTAAGCACCAGAAGGGAAGGGGAAAAGCAAAGTGACAGCTCTAAGAAGGAATGATAGCAAGCATCAAGGAATTTATATTCAAATATTTAAACATTCTTGAAAGGATGCTTGAACAGAAATTCTTTTTCTCTGCTCCCCATGTAGAAATGAGTTTAACACTCAGCCAGATGCTAATGCAAAGTGACTCAAGCTATTCCTCGCAAGCATAGCTAAATTGCCGTTATTTGTTAAGCGCATTGAATTCAGCTGTGGATACAGCAGTTGGTTGCATTCAGCAAGCATCTGTACCCTTTTTTTTTTAATCCTCCAAAGCAAAGACAACTCTACCTATCTCCCCCCTCTCCTCTCCTGTGCTGGCTGGGAATTGTCAAGTGACAACCGACCAAATCCTTTTGGACAGGAAGCCTTCATCCTAAGTTCTATATACTTGCAAAACAGCTCTTGTGGTTGGATCAGGGAGCCCATTAAAAGCACTTTGATGGTATGGAAATTCATCTTCATGAAGCTCCTAGGCCCCTAAGCAGCATGCTGTTTAGCTGTGGTTACAGATCAGTCATTCACATCGGAGGGCAATAATTGCGCTGACGGCTTGTAAGGCAATGGAAGTACATAAAATAATCCTAGGCCCTCCACCATGGCACTGTGAGTTAATCTTCCCTAATACAGATCAGCTGTTGTTCTAACACATGACTTGATGCTGGCTCCAGTGACTCTGCTCAGACTTTTGATTAAGTAACAGGAGTGGAACCATCTGCATTCACTTTATTCCATAGTTGTCCATTGTTAAGGGACCTCATTTCCACTTCTTGTTCCACCTCCACAATCATACTTTATTTTATTTCTTTGATTAGCACCTCCTATTTGAGGTACAGGACATAGAGTTGCCTCTGTTGAAAGCTACTGCTTTCAATTTTCCTTTCTCTTTTATAGGATATAATAACTTTTCAAAAAGCCTAATTTTGAAGTAATACCTGCCAAAATCTGCTGGCCAATTAAGATGTCTTCATTCTCCAGAAGGTTTTTATTCCTAAATCTCTTTACTATGCACTTCCAATGCAGTTGAGTTACATTTTCAATTAAAGTCTTATACTTGTATGGGTTTTTAAGTGAAAATCTTAAAATACGAAGGCGAAGCAGTTTCATTATTATAATAATACATCAAACTCTTGTAATGTGTAGGTAAACCTTTTCAGCAGAAGGATCCAAGTTAGTTTAGCTCATATGTTACCCTCGATACCTGAGAATGAAATTGAGATTATTGAAGCTCTCTTAGAAGCAGGTTTTACTGTGGTTGCCTTTTCCTGTTGAACTAGCTTGGGTGTCATTTCTACGATATCAATGATTGATCTCTGTCTGTGCAACTCATGGGAATGAGATAATGTCAAAGTTATATCTTTTAGTTTAGTTTAATTATTCAACATTAGTGCCTACTATGCATTAGAGACATTACTGTGTACTTGAGGTACTGTATTGAAGAAGAAAATATGGCTTCTGCCTTTATAGTGTTTACATTTTCAAATTCTGTTATTTTGACCATTAATCGTGGCATATTTATGGATGTGAGCCTACCAATAGGAATTGAATAAAGACTCCATGTTGCTTAGTATATCAGATCAGTTATATACCTAAGCTGACAAAGGTGAGTGCTTGTTCTTCCAAATTAAGTGACATCACTATACACATTGTGTTGTTACTTCCTTAATACCTACCTTTTTAACAGATTTTTATAATCACCAGCTTTACCCATGGCCAAAGCATAGGTAAATTAGTTGTTGGTTTGACATTTTGCTTCGTAGTTTTTAATGACAGACAAACAGAATATGTGATAAATTCCTCTTATAGTTTGCACTATCATCTTTTTGTACCATTTGAATCCCAAAAGAAGGATATTTTTCTCTCTAAAACAATACTCTCAGTTTCCTAAACCCAGAAAGTGAAATGTAAAGAATGGAAGTAATAAAGACAAAAAAAAAAAAAGATGAAAAGGAGCCTGGGAGAAAGGAAAAGGGGAAAGAAAAGAAATTTAGCCTGGTGCTTTCCATCAGTCTAAAAAGTGATAGTATAACCTGAGATCCAGATAATTGGAATCCTGTAGTGGAGATCTGTTTTCTTGCGAATACAGACCTTATATACATTAACTTTTCTTCACATTTCAAATGGCCAATATGATTGTCCCAACTAGGTTTTAATTCTGAAAAGCTGTTATTGGATAGTGAAAACAATTAGAGGTGTGAAGAAAGGGATGAATGTTTTCCAGTAATATGTACCAAAACACATAATGAAAGTCATTTGTACTGAAACACATTTTAATTGAAGAGTTCTAAAAGATTTTTCATTTCTTAACTTTTCTTGGAACTGTTTCAACATACCCAAGAACTGTGTATGTCAGGTTTCTTGGAAACTCTGGGACACAGCGTTATTTATAATTGTCATCTCTGGTTAATTATATCCTGATTGTATATTCAAATAATGTTATCTTTTACCACACAGCTCCATTACAGATTAATGTTATGGATGAAATAGTAGGTTTCTCAGATAGGAAGAATCAGAAAGAAAACTCTCATACATTTATCTTTTAAAACAAAACAAAACAAAACAAGACAAAAAAAAAAAAAAAGCACCTACTTTGCTTCTTTAACACCAAAAAGGCAGTTTTGACCATACGGTCTATATACTCAGGGTCTGACCTTGTGCTTGAAGGTATGTAATAGAGAATCAATGCTCTGGCCTGAAATGAAGAATAGACCAGAGTTTCCCTGCCCTTTTCTCTTACTCTCAATGCTGTTATCCTAGGAAGATGATACCTATGCTATAGTATCTCTTAGAAATGTATTTCATTACATGTATCGAGAAATCTAAATACAGTAGCTTCAACAGGATTACGTTTTAGCATATATTGAAGTTAAGGAATAGATGGTTGATGACATTAGTTCATCAGCTCTGTGATGTCAGGGTTGAAATTTCTGCTATTCTCTTGGTTTTTCCCTTAGGGTCACAAAATGTTGCTGCACTTGTAACTATCCATGAAGGCAGGCAGTCTCGGGAAGGGAAGTTTCTCCTTTGCTAAGTTCAGCCTTCATTCACAAAGGGGTGTTTCGCTGCACTCCTCAAGCTGACTTCCACAAACATCTCCTTTAAAACAATTACTGGTTAAAGGAAGAGAGACTATTTAAAGGGATCATGAATTATTTTCTGGGACTGAATGAAAGACCTTATCTTATCCCTGAGACCATGGGATATCTTAAGATAAAAGATCAAATTGATGGAAGAAAAGAAGGACCAGAATGGCTGTTGGGTAGGAAAAGGCCATAGTGAGCCACAGCTACATTAGATATTACAGCTCTCAGAACTGGTTTTTTATTGTTTATATTTGTTGTCATCTATCTAACTGCTTTTGCTCTTCCATTATTATATGTTCAGGGCTTTCCTTATAACTTGTCTGTGGTTCATAAAGAATTAAATTGCATGCAAGCATGTCCGCAAGAAAACATTGCTTGGTGACAGGTAAACTCAATGAATGTGTGTTCACAGACATGCTCTCTACATGTTAAGGCCAACTTCTTTACAGCTTTTCTTACATAAAACAGATGTCACTTACAAAAATAAACATGTGAATGTGTGCATACATTTTTTAAGGTAGAGAATTTATTTGCCAAACATTAATTGCCTACAGAGTACCCAAAATCTAAACACCTACACATTCTATGAAATCATCTATAACTGCAAAGAAGAATAACTAGGAAAATCTCTTACTTTTCCTTCTGAGGTTCAGTGAAAATTCTTTGCAAATTCTCACAGAATAAGATGAAATTTCGATGAATAACATGTATACTGTAAATAATTATTTACTCAGTAACGACATCAGTTTCTTTCTTCAGTCATATTCATAAGGAACCTCACCAAAG